ATTATATGATATATGTATTCATTCCTTCATTATAGGATAGGCCTATAGTGATCTGGATATTTCCTCTACCGCTAACAGCTTATAGGGCTCAATATCAGATATCTGTATAGTCATCTAAATATCTACTTTACCAGCTGATAGAGCTTAATTTCAACTATCTGTATAGTCATCTAAATATTTACTTTATCAGCTGATAGAGCTCAATTTCAACTATCTGTATAGTCATCTAAATATCTACTTTACCAGCTGATAGAGCTCAATTTCAACTATCTGTATAGTCATCTAAATATTTACTTTACCAGCTGATAGAGCTCAATTTCAGCTATCTGTATAGTCATCTAAATATTTACTTTACCAGCTGATAGAGATCAATTTCAACTATCTGTATAGTCATCTAAATATTTACTTTACCAGCTGATAGAGCTCAATTTCAGTTATCTGTATAGTCATCTAAATATTTACTTTACCAGCTGATAGAGTTCAATTTCAACTATCTGTATAGTTGTCTAAATATTTACTTTACCAGCTGATAGAGCTCAATTTCAGCTATATGTATAGTCATCTAAATATTTACTTTACCAGCTGATAGAGCTCCATTTCAGCTATCTGCATATTCATCTAAATATTTACTTTACTAGCTGATAGAGCCCAATTTCAACTATCTATATAGTCAATATATACTATAAAATTCTGACAACCGACCAATTCCCTTGCTGCAACTTAACACCTCACACGGTTGCCCCTCCGGATCCGGATGTATTACTTACACCCCCCCCCCCTCCCCCCTCCCCAAACAATCAAAAAAAAAAGCCTTCTAGCCACCAAGACTTGTGAATGCCTTCTTTCCGTTTGTGCACTCTCTACATAAATGAGATGGAGTCCTTTGTGCATGCTATGGCCTTATTTTGGCGAAAATAACAACATTTGATATACATTTTTCTCATTTTTAATTAATAAGTGTGAGCAAGTCAAATTTTAAACGGCGCCAACCAAACACTCTCCATGAAATAGAGGTCAGAGTTCAGAGACAATCTGACCACAGATAACAGGTACAGCTTCAAGTTCAGCTCTCTATACTTATAAGCATCCATGTTAGGGGACGTGGCTAAAACCTTGAATGGTCTGCTTTTTTGAAAACGCGTGTTAATCTGCTAGCTATTTTGACGATATGTTTCGTATATGCTCATAACTAAAAGGAACTGGAGGTCAGAGGTAAGAGGTCGAGGGTCACGGTAGGCATTATTGAGGTATGTTAAACTGGACAAGGATGAAGAAGTAAGTGAGGAACACTCCCATCAGCTGAAAGAAAAATTAATACAATATCATATACATACAGCCATAGATATCATAATATAACTAGATAGGAATAGTTTGGCGAAGAAAATCAACTTTCCAATATGGCGGCCGGTGACGTCGTTTTAGTTTTACGTTATCTATATATTATAGTCTATTATAGGATATCTATAATATTACAGCAACTTCCGGCATCTGAAATTACTATGGACCGTATACGAGAGAGCATTGTCCCAAGTGGCGGCACCAGTCCCCTGCAACTTGAGGAGGGGGCGGACAGCCTTAATGGGGGTTAACTTAAACTCGTATCGTTTCGATCATAGACAAAGAAACACAAAACGAACTTCTGGATCAGACAGTGATTTTACCGTTAAATATGATTGGCTGTATTCGATAGCTTACAATCCAATCGAATTGCTGCATTTGAATACTTCTGTGATATAAGAATAGTGGCTCTTGCAGCCAAGGTATAAGACGCAGTTCGTAGATATTGAGAAGATGCATTTTTATCAGATTGTGACTTTACCGTTAAAATGGTTTCTCTTCTGACGAGCATGAAATCCCAGACTGTAAAACCAATACTCGTTCCTTGTAACTTCAAAATAAACAATTCCAACTGTAAGAAATTAAACCATATATCAAAATAGAGTTTTACGTCTTAAGGTGCGTTTAGACGAGGTGCAGTGTTCTGTGCGTTGTACGGTGTGGAATAATCGATAAACACGAAAATAGAAGAAGTGAACACACGAGGTACGGGTCCGAACACGGTGCAAAAACGGTGCAGACACGTTTCGTTTTCTATTTTCTACAGTATCGATAATCCTATACCGCTTGACACACCGAACACCATACATCGTCTATTCCAACGTTTACTGTGTCAGGGCCGCATTAGTGTATTGGGTTCTCTAATTTTCAACCCTCACCGTAAATGGTGAACTACCGTACCGTACCGCACACCACCACCCGGAGCATCACAGTACACGTACCGTACATGTACCGTACTCACCTTATACCGAAAGCGTGTGTCGTATATTCGCACATTAAAAGTTGTTGCTTTTGATAGACAAATGGAATAAAATAGAGTTGACTTCATATAATATAATGTTAGGACATTTTGTATCGAGCGAGTTGCGAATAGTCCAGGCATTACGTCTTAATATCATATCTTGACTGCAATGGCCCACTTTCTTGATTCACGGTCGGAGATTTGATTGGATTGTACTCCGGCGAATACAGCCAGTCAGACTCAGAGCCCTTGATTTCATGCGTAATTATCTTTCTATCGAGAGGTAGGTCGGATTAGTTGTATTCGCTGGCATACAATCCAATCAAATTGCTGACACAAGAAAAAGGGCCATCGCAGTTAAGGTAGAGCCCAGCCCCCTATCCCCCTTCCAAAGACAAAACACCATTGGATACCGGTCTGAACGCGATGCGGACAAGATAACATTGGTTTTACCTTTCGGACTCGAAAATACTCACATTTGTAGACTGATCCGCTGTGATTCCTGTCGGGTTAACTTTAAACAGTGCGACCATCGGTTCTTGAGCCTGTAAATAATAATAAACTGTAAAATGTTATATATTACGTGTTGGTATTTTGTACAATGATGGATGATGAAGAAATCAAAGTGTTGGTAAAAAAACGGGCTGTCTAAATTGGACACAAAGTGAGGCGACAGTTGGAATTCGAAAAAGACGCTAATGATGCGGCAAAATTTTCCATCATGGCACTGCACCTGCATGGAGGTGACCGTTTGGTGCAAAAAAGTAGGACGGAAACGTCCATTCAATTTATTTCGAATAGAAATAACTTAGTATATGCTCACCGTATCGTGAAGTTGAGATGAACACAGTGAAAGAACATACACCTTGGACATATTGCAGACAAGCCAGAATCCGAGCAATAGGAATTGAGTTCCTTCGAAATCAGTTTTTACCATCGAATAACCCAAAAGCAACGATATCAATATATTTAGACAATAGGCCACGGCTAGGATGAGTTTAAAGTCTTGTTCTATCAGAGCCACGAAGTCGCACAGTTTCAGATGGGAAAGTCGCAACGCAGGTAAATCTGGTGGGTACACATTAGGAGACTCAGTAATCGCCTTATTAAGTCCGAATGTCAAGTTTTTGAACTGTAATGCCAAACCTTTGGACGTGGCCACAAATAGCAAAATGACACACATCCATGGTGTTTCAATTAGCATGGTCAAAATGCCAATCAGGATGTAAAATGGAGCCTTTCTAGGAAAGGGATCCACGAGGTGCAGCATTGCTTCTTTCGAAACACCATCTGGACCAAAGAGACAACCAAGAATTCCAACTTGTAAGAAGATGTATAAGATCATAAACGACACGAAATATCGCATGAAAACCTTCTTCAGTCGTCGAGAAACTTTGTCTTGCGGGCAACCACAAGCTGCAGCTTCGATGGAGAATTCGTACCAGTCCTGAATGAACTTGTGATAGCGATCTCTTCTGTGGAACATCCGAAATAACAAAGAGGCTTCTAAAGCCCCTTGGAGGTTGTATCCCAAGACCACGGCTTTTAATATCGACCATTTTATCTTAAATTCGGTATCGCCATACTGCCAGAACATCGCTACAAGGCACTTGATCATCATCACCCAAACCAACGCGAGAACGAAGATTGAGTAAGCTTTCCAGATGTTGTTCCAAAATATATCCTTTATTCTATTCATTCGGAGCGACTCCTTCCCCGTTAACGTCTGTACAGTGGTCTGTTTTACGCTGTCTGGTGTGTAGTAGAGACCGGATAATTTCATCACGAAGAATAAGGGTTTGAGGAGCACCCGTAGATCTCTTGTGTCTCCTGTATCCGAAATATCCATCTTCATAGTAGTAGGTTAGATTCCAAATGAAAGACTATACCTATAACCTATGATTGTATGTAGACTTAAAATGATGACCCAATTGAACTTCAGCTACTGTAGTCTGTGATATTCCAACAAACGGAAGATTATCTTTGCGTGCATGTAGTCCGAAACTCGATGGCTACTTTCTTTTTGACGGTGGCTCTGCTTGGCTGTATTCGCTAGCGTACTATCTGAACAAATCATTATATTTGCAAACTTCCGTGACACAAGAAAAGTGCCTTCTGGTGTCAAGGTATAAAACTTGACATTGTGGGCAAGTATACGGAGTGGCAAAGGTGTATGGTCTTTAGTTGAAGTAATTGGTCTGTTGTCAGAATTCTTGTTCAAGAAGGGGGTGGGGTGCAATCCATCCCTCCTTACCATTGCCCCTGGCGTAGGTCCGACTGAGGTTTCGGACTATGTATACATGACAAACCCATATCCATTCCATTACGTTTATGAATCGACATTAAACAAATTTGATTTGTGTAAACAAATGTAAAAGCTATCTTAATGACAATATTTACTGCCTGACAATAGAAATAATGACGATTCATTTTCCCAGTGGCACAACTCTAAGGCAAACTCGTTGAAACATTTATATGTTACATCAAAATACATTTTAAATTAACAATGGGCTGTTACTCTATGTCTACCCATATGATTTACATATTGTATAATAGCTACTGTATCATCAACTTCAGTATAACCTTCCCGTATCTCTTTTTATGTCAATATCAGTGCAATGAGTTCGAGATTTCTGGCCAGATTTTCATTTCGCCCTTCTCAATTCACCCTTACTGTCTTGTCTCCTCCAAATTCACCCCTTTCCGTGCCCCTCCGCTACCACCCCTTTTTCATTTCGCCCCTGTCTCGTATTGCTCTCACCTAATTTCGGTCCTTTTTCCCGTTGGACAGTCCCAAGTATTCATTCAAACGGGAAGGGGCGACACGGGAGAGTCGAAATTGGTCAGGGCGAATTCTGTAAGAGACGTACTATGGGAAGTGGGCGTAATGGGAGGAGGCCTTTCGGAACACTTCTAGTTTATACGAAATGTCTAGCGTTTGTCAATTAATTGTCGAAACGACCTACACTCGAACATCTCGAACGCACTTCCTCTATGGACGAATGAAAAGAAAACAACTAATATTTTATTATATTTTTCTTCTCAAACCTTTAATTTAAATGAAATAAAAGACATTTAACTTATTCCAATCTCACCAAATCTCCTATAGACTGTAGTTCGATTTAGTTTTGTCCATATTTACTGCCGTAATCGGAGATGAGCCGAGGCGTACGTCAAAGAGTAGTGAAAATGTGGTGTCTGTAAATTGTTAACCACCGACTTCTTTACTTAATTTTGTGAATTGACACATACTTTAACTTTCCAATATGCCTAGTGAAGTGAAAGTAGCTGTTGTGTGTTCCAGCAACCAAAATAGAAGCATGGAGGCTCATAATTTTCTGAGGTTCTTGCTTTATTTCTCTACTTCACAACCCAGCTGTAAAAGGGGATTATTTAACGTTTGGCTTTTCAACCTGGTTTCCCCCTGCAATGATCAATAATCAAAGACTTAGGCTGTGCACATTAAGGATCTTTAGACAGAATGAATCAGAAAAGAGTAGACCATTTCCACCACAGTCATGGTAAAATTTCCCTCATTGTACAGTACTTGGCATTGCCTGTCTTCATCAGTCCCATTAGATAGGCGTACAGAAAAGTAAGACATGTAATTTCATTTCATTCTTTCATTTTTATCAGAGAAGGGTGACAAGAGTTGGAAAAATCAACTCTAGATATTTTAATGAGATTATATAATAAACAAGTAAAAATTTTTGCCATTATTTTGTTATTTCAGCAAGAAGGGTTACAGTGTTCGATCGTTTGGAACAGGAAACCAAGTTAAACTACCAGGGCCCTCTCCTGATAAACCTAATAATTACGATTTCAATGTTACATATGATGAGATGTTCAAAGATTTATCTCAAAAAGACCCAGAACTGTATCCTTTATTAGTTAACACCCTTTTCCTCTCTTAGCTGTCCTGATGATGTCTATGTATCCAAAACAAGTGTTTGAAACATTAATTCTTGTAAATTATATGACAAAAGTAACCTTCCCTAAACTGAAAAAATGAAATGAGCCTTGATCAGGAAATAAAGAATACAAAAAGACTGAAAAACACTGAAATCAATGATATCCTAGCTATCTTTCATGCTTGGATGGATACTGCTTTTGATATGTTGGTTTTGAGGATGTTCTCTTTAAATTTTTTCCTTAATTCACATCAGCTACACACAGAATGGTATCCTACACATGTTAGACAGAAACAGAAGATTGAAACCGAAACCTGAGCGCTTTCAGAACTGTTCAGATAAATTTGATATTATAATGACCTGTGAAGAGAGGGTATATGACCAGGTCATAGAAGGTAGGTTTGGCATACAAACTGAGTAAAGGGGCACTTTCACCATCCATGCCATTAATCGATCCTTAGTCTAAATAAGAGTGAATGGTTTAGCTAAGTTAATCAGTAATAGTGTCCACATCTCACTGGTGAAAATTGCAGCCTTCGTATCTATGTGTATCCAAGTTTATCTGTTTGAAAGTGTATTATATCTTGTAGATTCAGAGAATATATAAATTGTACATTTTGTAGATTTAGAGAATCTGTAATGAGTATGTAGATTTAGATAAGTTACAATTTGTGTATAGATTTAGAAAATGTATTTGTCTGTAGATTGAGATAATTCATAATTTAAATGGAGATTTGTAGATCTTACAGATTTTCTATGTAGATTTAGAGAATCTATAATTGTACATTGCATATTTGTAGATTTAGAGAATCTATAATTGTATATTTGTAGATCAAGAGAAATCTATAATTTGTAAATTTATTTTTAGATTTAGAGAATAGTAATGTATATTTTCTATGTAGATTTAGAGAATCTATAATTGTATATTGTATATTTGTAGATTTAGAGAATTTATAATTTGTATATTTGTAGATTAAGATAATGTATAATTTGTATATTTGTAGATTTAGATTATCTATAAATTTACATTGTATATTTAGAGAATCTATGATTTGTATTTTTGTAGATTAAGATAATGTATAATTTGTATATTTGTAGATTTAGAGAACCGTGAGAAAGATGGAGGTCAAGCTGTACATATTATAAATATTGATATTCAGGATAATCATGAAGAAGCCACCATTGGAGCTTTCATGATTTGTGAATTAGTGGCAATGGTAAGTAAATACGCTCTTTTGAACCATTTAGTCTTCAGTAGGACAATTACTACAGGCCCCAGAGGCAGCCCCGTAGCTTTAAAAGCAGTGGGTGAGGGGGCAGGGGGGCGAACAAACAATCTGACCAATTCCATGACAGCAACTAAACACCATACACTAATGAAGCCCTCCTTGTAACAGATAAAATGAAAAAATTATTCTTCTTCCTCTGGATGCACTCTCCGCCTTCCTAGAAACCAAAAGGGGAGCTAACTTGCTCAGGCGGCCCGCTCCTCAATGAAATCTTGGCTACACCACTGTCCATGTTGTCCATGTTTTCTATTTCAGTTAGCGATATCAGATGATCTGGACAATGATGTGGATGAAATTGTACAAGAGTTTGAATCCCAGACTAAAAGGACTATATTGCATACCGTGGCTTTCTATTAACGGTGTCTGTAAAATGTGGATTTATGTGGTTCACTTTTATATTTGATTTGTATACAATGTACTTTGGAGGGGGAGGGGGGGTCTGGGTTCTTATATTAAAACCTTTACATAATTGAAACTTATATACCAGACAACATCACAGGGGGTACACGAGAGGCCATCTTCACAAGATGTTAAAATCTTCGTCCTATACCTTGACTACAATAGCCATAGCTCTTGTATCATAGGATGCAGCGATTTGTTATACACCAGCGAATACAGCCAAACAGAGCCTTCGACAGAATCGCTGTAATATTATGACATCATGTTCACAGACTTTCTGCCAAGGCCTCAGATCGGCTGTATTCGCTAGCGTACAATCCAATCAAATCATTTCATTCTGAAACTTCCATTACAAGAAGTATGAACATTGCCACCCTGAACGTCTTATATTAAAAATCGTACAGGATTGATACAGAATGGTACTGGAATAATACACAGAAACTTCTCTTTTTCTTCCTTTATCCGACATTATTTCGGTTACAAATCTTTTTAAAGACAACAGCAACTTCTTTACGAAATTTAACACTCTTTCTATAGTGGATCACAAAATGTCCAAGTAGACCGAGCGTTCCGAAAGTCAGTGGTATTACTAAGATCTTTATAGGAGTGTATTCTGTGAAGACGAAACGACTTAATATACTGGCAACGATCGTAGGAAAATAACAACTGGATGACCAAATGTAAATCAGAAACATTGTCCGAGTTCGCATAGAAGCCTCTTTGTTCATGGGTCTAGATCCGTCCCGTGGTACAATTCTTCCTCTGGCCTTTATGCTTATTCTTAAGAATAACAAAAATGTCGCAAGACACACGATCGGTGTCAATATTATAATAACCATGCTGGTAGTTTTGTTGCCGCTACATCTGAAAACTTCGTCTTGTTCTGGAACGGCAGAAAAATCGCGACAAACCGCAGGGATAGATCCAATGACATAGACCAAGCTGCAACAGATCCGCACATGTTTATTTTTAAGTTGTGTAAGATGAAAGGTAGTGTACGTAACAGAGATGTAGCGCTCGATTCCTACGAGCAGAAATCCAAGATTCCAGAACGTTACCGTGGTATAACCGCAAAATTCCAAAAGCTGACAAACTGGGGAAGTAATGATGCCAACATATTGTTGGATGCTCACAATCAACATTGCTGGGAGACCTACTATATGGATTATAATGCTTATTATGGATAGGTTGAAGACCGGGATATCAATTAACGGCATTTCTGGTAGCCGACGATTCAGTCGTATCATTATATACAGATGAAAAATGTTTACTGTCAAACCAATTGGTATGTAAATCGCCAGAAGCACACCGCCTAATAACAAAACATCAAACATATTCTTCTGTTTCGGGGTGGTCTTTTTTAAAATAAAGTTTGTTCCTTCACTTCGTATGATATTATATTTTTCTTTTTTAAATATTTTCAACTGACAAATTTTTCTCCGATCTAATAAATTTTCTCCACCAGTTTTAGTTTTTTCGTACCAAACCATTTATAAATGTCCCGGCTATAAGTCCATAATTACAAATATACAATCCCTTGAACGTCTAGAGCAAATCGTGAATGTGTAATGGATATTTCCAAAAAAATGTTCATCCAAGAAAATTGACAAACCGTATTGATAGCACTGATAAATGGACTGGTTCAATAGAAGCCGATAAATTTCTTCTATCCGATATTATTTGTATGTCAATCTGATGCCGTACTATGTTCACACTTACCTTAGTCCGAAACTAGCAGTCTTAAAGCACGTTAGTAATGCTTGCCATATATAGTTGACGGACTTATTGAACAATAGCGAAAAGAAGTGGTGATATGGGAAAATCGGACGGGATAAGATTGTGATGGGATTAGATTTAGACTCGATAAGATGGGATGGGATAAGATTTAGACTCGATAAGATGGGATGAGATAAGATTGGGATACTGGCAGGGTAAGATTGGGGCGGGATAGGATTAGGATGGGATAAGATTGTGGCTCGATAAAATGGGACGGGATATGATTTGTACTCGATAAGATGTGACGGGATAAGATTGAGATGGGATAAGATTGGGACTCGATAAGATTGTGACTCGATATGATGGGACGGGATAAGATTTGTACTCGATAAGATGTGACGGGATAAGATTGAGATGGGATAAGATTGGGACTCGATAAGATTGTGACTCGATAATGATGGGACGGGATAAGATTGGAACTAAATGTGATTGTTACAGAATAAAATTGTGACTCGATAAGATCGACCGGGATAAGATTGGGACTCTTTGTGATTGGGACAGATTAAGATTGGGAAGGGATGAAATTGGAACAGGAGAACATTGGACGGGTTAAGATTCTCATGGGATATAGGACCTTCAAGTTACTCTTGTGCTCTTCTCTGAGGATTGCCGAATGGATAAAGGTAAGTTTTGGACTTGAGGTGAGATGTAAAGGATTAGTTGTTTTCATAATTGTGTGAAAATTACGGTAATTAGATGTTGGTTTATATTGTTATAATAACTAGTGTTCGTATTTAATGATCCGGATTATCATTCACATATTCATTAACTCGGTATTATAAGGTCTAGTTTCTATCAGACAAAAATCGTCTTAGGCGAGAGGTTTCGGGGACCAAAAAAGAAATTGTGGGATAGTGACCGTTTCTTAGACTTAAGATGCGGGCACACAAGCGGTCTTGGTCGCAGATTTTTGTCGCCGATTATTGTCTTGAGTAGAATCTTCCGCGACAGGATTATCGTGTCGCCGACATGTTTGATAAATGTCTCCGATAGTTTTATCGTCTGCAAGACAGACCGTCATCATCCAATCAGATTCACCTTCCTTTAAATTGCATGCTCCACACTTGATTATCGACATGGTGGAAAACGACCGACCGGAGATTTTTGTCTCTTAGAGTGTCCGTAGCAATCGGCGAAACTCCTGACAAGACTCTAATTGGCGACAAAAATCTCCGACCAAGACCGCTCGTGTGCCCGCATCTTCACTTGGTTATATTAAGTAGTGATCGCATTTAAAGATCCGGATCATTCACAAAGGTTCATAAGGTAACATAAGATATGATTTTATGAGTTAAAATCATCCTGGTCGAAGGGACTGGGGGCAAAAAAAAAATTGTGGGAAAGTGACCGTTTCTTAAACTAAAGGTGCGGGCACACGAGGGTTTTGGTCGGAGATTTTTAGCTCACGTGCGCGTGCCAGTCAGTGAAACTCTTGACAAGACTCTCTCTAGTCGATGACAAAATTCTCCGACCACGACCGTCCGTGTGCCCTAACCTTTAGGTATGATTGGTCAAACTGATGGCGTGTCTGTCTACGGGCCTGCAATAGTATACAAAGTCAAATAATTAAAAAAAATATTTTTTATCACATATATCACAGAAATAAATGTTATGTAACTTCAAATCGAGCTGGTTAATCTTCAAAGCATCTGAACACTTGTGTCTGAAAAACAAGAGACACGGTTACTTTAAACGGCATCAATATTATTAAGATTATGCGGCTGTTAACTACCGAAGACATGAGCAACTGCCAAATAGTTTTTCCAGCTGAACTAAACCATAGCCGTTCTGAACACTATTTCGAAGAACAAAGGAAACCTGTGAAGGGAAAGGGTCGTGGACGTCGTTTAGTTGGTCATCGTTTTAAAAGCGAGGCATTGCCCAATTTGCCTCCATTGTACTACTGCCTTGATGTTTGCATCTGCATTAATTAGTATATCGTACCTTCATTTGTGGACGATTCATACATGGGCCGAGAATAATCCAACAATCGTATCCTTTCTTCGTGGTCCTGATCTCTAGACGGTCTGCAACATCCACACGCCGCATAACATTTGGGCATACAGGAATCGCCGATATTCACTATACAGTTAAACAGTCCGTACGCTGCCATGAACATGAATATAATAGCAGCGATCACAACAGGAATAATCCAATAAAGTTCTTCTAAATTTGAGCTACCCAATAGACCGGGGCTGGTAGAGTTCAGTTTAAGATCTGCAAATGGTTCCATCTCGTTTGACGCCATATTTGTTCCAAAAAGTCGATTTTGTCGTCCGTCTCACATGCTGCGTTATGGAAATGATCTGAAAAAAAAAAAGAAGTTCTGATAGTAATCATAGGTTTAATTGATAGGCTACCCATCGGTACTGCCCATCGTAAAATAATACCCCCCCCCCCCCTCCGCCCACCTACGTCCCAGCCGTCCAAAGAAACGTCACTGTGACTACATTCGAAAACTTACAAATATTTCC